CCCCCCCCCCCCCCCCCCGGTGACTCACACAGCCCTGGGAGCCAGCGAAGCAAAGCCCATACCCCTGAGCCATCTCAGGGTTCTCTGGCTGCATGACCATTCCTTTGAGGCTGAGCACTGGTCCACCTTAGCAATGGACGAGCCAAGGTATATATAAATAATTCTCTTCTCCAAGGTCAAATCCCTAAATCTGACCTACAGTAAATACTCCTCTGGCTTTTTAATCTTTATTTAAATTCTTTACAAGTCAGATACCAATATCTGTATTTCCTTTCACAATCACAGTAGCAGTAATCAAAACAGGTATTTCCAATACAAACTGAGTCTCAGAAACATACTTTGTTGGTAATGAAGAAATGGAAGTGTGTTCTCTTCCAGGTCACTCCCAAACGATTGACCCACAGGAGAACATCACTGGAGCGACATGTGGGGTGTCTAAATTCACCACCCCTGTGAGGGAGTCCAGCTGTCACTTGCAGCCACCCTCTCCATACACCTGGACAGGCATTCCTTTCCAAATCCGCCATATCCTAAACTATGAAAAAAGTGGCTCCAGGATCCAGTGTTCTATCAGGTGGCATCAAGCAGCCCACTGGCTGGCCTGATCAACGGCTTGCACCAACAGATTTTGCCCATGGTGTGATCTTTTAAGACAGCTTACAACACTAGCTCACAAACCCTGGCTTAGCAACTCAGTCAGGGCATCTATGATTCAGCTGAAATGAACAAGCAAATGCGAGTACAAATCAATAAATACAATTTTTGAAAACCTCAGCCAAGTGTTTTGCAGATAGCTGCAAAGACACAACTCAGTGTAACTCAGCTGGGAACACAATCTCTGATTTCCCCACTACACCAAGTCACATCCCACCATGGATTTCATGGCGCTTTCCCAACTTCCAAAGGCCAGAGAAAAACCCAGAGAAAGCATAAGCATCAAAATGACTCTCAGGCATATAGCAAATGTGTGTTTCTATTTTCCATTTTCAACACACACAGTGGATTTCTTTAGGGCCCAACTCGTTAATTTAGATGCTGGGTCGTGTCCACATTTCAATGGCCTGTGAAATCTCTACCATGACAGAGGTAGCTAAGTGCTCTGTCTAAGCTTCCAGGAATGGGGAGGCAAAATTTTTCTCTGAGATTAGAAAAGAGAAAAATTCCAGCCTCAATCACTATGGCAGTGACCGGGCAGTGTCAGGATAAAAACAGCCCTGAGAGGCTTCCTTACCCATGCCGTCTAGCCCACGAGCGCCGAGTCTTCCTCAAAGTGAAGAAATAGTAGCTGCCAGGCCTAATATCTTGGACCAGTTTACACTGAGACTTGTGCAGCCTGCACATGGGATAAAGGTCAAAGAGCAATAGCCTGGGTCTAGGAAGGCTTGGGTTCTAGATCTATGTATAAATATGGAAAAACCATCCCACTGCCTGGAATCACCATTTCCCCTGCAGGCAGGCTGGCATTATGATATCCAATCTCCAGGGCTGTAAGTCCCATAAGGGGACAGATGTCTAAGGCGTGCATGCTATACCCTCCCCCGCAACCTCATCATTCAGCTGCCAACATCGAATCCTTCTCTAGCATATGGCACCATTTCCCCTGCAGGCAGGCTGGCATTATGATATCCAATCTCCAGGGCTGTAAGTCCCACAAGGGGACAGATGTCTAAGGCGTGCATGCTATACCCTCCCCCGCAACCTCATCATTCAGCTGCCAACATCGAATCCTTCTCTAGCATATGGCATTCCTCTGGAAAACTTGTTACCTCCTTTCATGGGGGCTTGAATTCCTTCTCCTTCCTGTTCTTACAGCCTGTTTTGTAGAGGTGGTGCCTCTACTGTAAAATCTAGCACTTTAGGTTAAACATTTGTTTGTGCATGTCTGTCTCTGGCTCTAGGACACTCTACAGAAACATCTAAAACTCTAGGCTAAACATTTCAGCTTGTTCACCGTCATCCATCCATGGCTGGTACCGAGAAGGCACTCAATGAATGAACAGGCAAGCCTTCGAGACAGGAAGATTTCTGAAGTCTGGTTCTCCTTTATATTCCTGGAGTTGAACATGCTTGCACTAATAGGCACTTGATAAATGTCTATTTTTGCATGTATGAAATGAAAATTAATTACCTAATTAAACCATCTGGAAAGACATAAAGTAAGATTCAGATGTAAATACTGTCTATTACAGGCCTCTGCTCTGGAAGACTGGCCTTGTGACATGCTGGGGATTGGTCAGTACTGACAGGGGGATTCCTCTTGATTTGGGCTGTTCCCCTGAGGAAGGATGGATTACACACAAACCCTTCAATAACTCGAAAACAATACTCCTTATTGTCAGGCATACAGGATGCCTTCTTTGCCTGTCTGTCTTTCAGAGCAGCTAGTTAAAGGGCTAATCTATTTTTTAATTCAGCAGTTCAGAGACCTTTAGTGTGGTCTCTCAATGAAACGGTTTGACTGAATTTAATTTTCAAATTAACAGAGGCAGAATAAGACTGCAAGGGACTCGCTTTGGATCCAGGACCAGCTCCCTTTGTATCACGTGACTTAGGTCAGGGATCTTAGCAGGACATCTGGGATGTCTCTCAATGAAGAGATCACACAGGGGTGTTTTCGTACCTGGCCTAGTTGTAATTCTTTGCGTAGCTTCAGGATATACTGAAGTATTTGGAAAAATAAAAGCTGCACCCCCTGCAGACAAAAGGAAAGACAAAACATGTGAAGGCCTTTTGTTGTGGTTGTTGATCTCAGCATCAGCGCCAAATCTACTTTGCCCTGTGACAACAAAGGACGAGACCTCCTTGAACCTGCCATAACAGACCCAGGAACAATGGACCAGCGCCCAGGTCAGAAGCAGACTCTGAAGACGGAGTGGACGTGGAGCTCTCCCGTGCCTCATTTGTTATAAAGCGCTATGTGTTTTGATTTTACAGCTTCTTGCTGAAGGTCCACTTGTGGTCCCACCTCCACCCCCAGTAATCTCATTTTATTAAAAACAATTCTATGGTACATGCTTTATTTTTCAAGTTGTATAAAAACCCACAAAATATTTTACAGAGCTCTTGGAAAGTAGTACCAAAGAATTACAAATATTTTGCCTAAGAGTATATGGATCTTATTAAAAATGAATCCACATCTATATCCAAATGCACATCCCTTTCTCTCTTTCAATCAATGTTCTTAATGTTAGCTGACAAAATTCCCTGTTTGTAGTTCAGTTCATTTGGAATTTGTTGTCCTGTTCTTCAACTACTTCTATATTTAAGAATAATGAAATTGGTAAATTCAGAGTTTTCTTGAAACATTCACTCACTGTTAAAGCATTTCTAAATAAATGTGAAATGATCAGAAAATGTGTGTAGTCTAAAGGAGCTTCCTAAGAGGGGGAAATTACTTCGTCTAAGTTATTTGTTATTTCTGGCCACAAGGTTATTAGCAGGTTGATAAGTGTACCCTAAATCGACAAGGTGTACTACCAACTCAAAGCACCTTTTTTAAATTTCAGATTAAAAGCACAGTGTTTTGAATATAGAAGACCAAGACAAACTAGCTATTTCATTGTAATACTCAAACTGGGATTCACACTTTTTACATTTTAAAATAAAATGGTGCATATTTAGAAAGCTGCTGTATTTCATGTGAGGACCGGCTGTGAGTGGGCTGGCTTGCTGGCCGGGGTTACCTAAGCCTTCCAGCACTTGCTGTTTCATCGGTAGCCTGGGTGGTGGTGGAGGCTGCCTGCAGGCTGATAACGTGAGGTGAGCAGCCCATGCCTTGCTCAGGTGAGCCTGTCTCCTTCGGGTGGGAGGAAATGGACGTGAACCAAGAGCACATTTATCCACAGAAACCCAGCCTCGACTATGAGTCGGAGGAGAGGGAGGAAGGTTAGTTCATCTGGATGAAGCATTGTGTTAAGCCCTGCTTAGGCTCAGGCAAAATAAGCAAATAAATCAATGAAATGTAGAATCAATGGTTAGAGATAGAAAGTAGGCATTCGGTTAGTGACTGTTTCATATTCTCTGAAATTACAATAGATTGTCCTTTGAACAAAAGTTCACAAAAAGTAACACATTCCCTTCTATTGCCTTTTGTACAAATGTACTAAGTCTGTACAAAAAGATTAAAATCAAGACAAGTCAAATGACCTGAATTATATCAGGAAGGAAAAAATAAAACTCCAACTTATCCTAGTAAACATTCCTTTAAGAATAAAAGTGTGTGTGTGGTGGTGGGGGGGTGGTGTTTGGAATGGAGACTGCTAAGGGCTCCTTTATAGGGAACATACTTTTAGTTTCTACAGAGTCAGCACAGAGAACATATTGGGACTAAAAGTGAAGATCCTAATCCAGCAAATGTGAGCTGAAGTTATGGCTAGAGGCTAATTCTGCACGTCTCCTGGTTAAAAGAAATCCATTGATGATCAAAGGCGGGGGCAGGAAGAGCTAAAAAACCAGAGGGTTTCTTTCATCGCCCTTGAGGCTGTGGTACTGCATATGCATCAAGGAGTATGTCAAGTGTCCCTGTCCTGCCTTCCTGATGCACCTACTGGTCCTGTGTTTCAAACTAAAGCATGCGACCTGCAGACAAGACCCTGCGCTTGTCATGGGGTGCAGGGGCGGGGTCAGCATTACCTGTGTTTCTAGCATGCATTAACCGTGGAGAGTTTTGTAAGGCTTTATCAACATCATCTGAAGTCAAATGTGGAAGAGGAGCTACAAAACAAAACAAAAAGCAACATGAAAATGAAAAAGAGAGAGAGAATTACCTTTCTTAAAAATATTAAAGAAAGAAAAAGGAAAAAGAAAGAAAAAGAAGAAAGAAAACGTCCCCCCACCCCCACCCTGACATCGGGGGCCGTGTGGAAATAGTCCATGGCCCTGCTACTTGTTAGCGTGTTAAAACCTAAATGGGGGTTGTCTCTAATTCAGGGAGGAAGGGGTGGGATGCCAGGCAAAGCATCAAGGGGACTTCCTCTACCCCGCTGTGCCACTACTTCTACCGTTCCTTCTAACCATGCTGGACATTTCAAAAATCAAAGCATGCAGCAAACGTGGTGGATTCATGCCTCTATCGCCAATATGCCATCCCACTCTGTCAGGGTAAGCCAAATCTCATGACACGAAGTGACACCTCCCTCGTTTTGTGTTCAAGTTGGATATGAAGGGGGCTTGGTTTACCTTTAGGGAAGACCAACCCCATCATTCTCAACAAGTAGGAGCCTCTCTGTCGTGTTTCTATTTCGATATGGGGCACTAATGAATGGAGGCTAATTAACGTGTGACCAGATGAAGAGTCCTTTCCCTTTGACATTCGACCTTGGTGACAGGGACCCTGGAGGAGGCAGCTGATTGCTTAGGGGACTTTTTGGCTTCTCACCAGGCGATACTGCCAGTGAGTTGTTTCCCTAAGTCACTGCACTAAGCGGGTAGTTCCCTTGGATCCTAAATGGGAATTGGGCGAGGGCAGGTAGATGCCACTGACACAAATGTCTGAACCCTCCGGAGCTGCGGTGAGTAAGAGCCATGGAAGGAGCCGACTGCGTTCTGAGGGTGGGAGCCGCTTACTCTCTCTGAGGTAGTGGAGGTGCGAGAGCAGGATCTCTGCGTTGTAGCTGGGGGTAAGCCTCTGGAAGTCGTCCTTGGTCATCTTGCACAGTTCCTTCCCATCGATATTCTGGAATAATAAGATGTCAACGTCGGGAAGGCCGTATTCTTTCACCGCCCACTCCAGCCACTGCCGGACGTGGTCTGTGCTCCATAGCGTAGGATCTGCAAGGGTGGAAACACATTCGATCAACTCCTGAAGACACATCTCTGGGCCCAGTCCCCACCCCAGGAGGGACTTTGCACCGGCCACTGCTTCCCAGAGCAGTCTCCTCCCACAGCTCCACAAGCGTGGCCTCCAGCCAGGCTCAGTGACCACTCCAAAGAGGATGTCTTGGGGAAAGACAAAAGCTGACTCACATCCATAGATTATGTCTGTAAAGTGAATCATTCTGGAAGTTTAGGATTATTTACCCCCTGGTCCCCTTTGTTGCTCAGATCATCTAAAGTTTCCTGTAGGGAGGGGGTTTTAATTATTTTTTCATTTATTTTCATTTAAAAATGAATAAAAATGAAAAGAAACTTTCCTTAAAAAACTACTGGTATATTTATGTGAAAATAAGAGTTAGCAACACATATCAGGAAAGGGCTAATGATAGATTACAAAAAAAAATAATAACAGTATTTGTACAAAATACTGAAAAATACTGACCACAAGATTGGAAATAAAGTATAGGTCAACCCAAACCTAGCCCCTCCTGTGAGCTAGTGCTCCTAACAGACAGCTGTCAGTTACAGTCTTTTCCTGCACAGAACTTGGTCCTGCAACTAACAGGCACCTGCAGGAGGCGGGTTGGGTGAGGGGCACAGCTGCGGAGCACAAACACTGCACAGGATGCAGGCAGGGTCACTGTCACGCTCCACTGCCATATATAGGAGGGGATGCCGATGCAGGGGCATAGGACAAGCAGGGCAGTACCCCAGGGAGAAGGAGGCAGGTGATCCCCAACCGACATGCAGGCTGGAGCCCCCACAGTGAACACCCTCAGTGGATGGGTCTTCACAACATCTCGAGGGGTAAACAGGGTGGCGGGTCCCTGGGCGCTGAAGACACCGGGGCTGGGAGCAGGAGCCCTGAGTTCTAATCCCACTATCTCTCAACTTGCTGGACCTCACTCAGGGAGGCTGCTGCTCCTTTATGTGTCTGTTTCACATGGGAAATGACAGCTTAGATGACCTCTGGACAGGCCTTTCCTTGGACATCAGCCATTGCCATGATGTTCTGATGGTCTTGAGTAAAAGTATCTGGTGTGGGACTAACTCATCCTTTTCAATCACTTTTTAGCTAATATTTTTAGAACATGGTTGGTCCCACTAATGTTTCAGGCTACTCAAGCACAGAGCACATAGTGTGCTGTTGGAATAGATTCCAGGTTTACAGAAGTATAATAATAATACTGAGTAAATAATAGTGAGAAATAATTATGGTAATACCTAGTAAGAAATACCATCAGAGTTCCCTTCTCTCCTCCCATCTCTCCTTTCCTTTTCCTCCTCCTTCCTCTCTCTTTCTTTCCTTCCCTTCTGCTTCATATCTTCTTAGATAAATTATTTCAAATCCATGGGGCTGGCTGGCTAGCTCAGATGGTTAGAGTGTGGTGTTATAACACCAAGGCCATGGGTTTGGACCCCTGCACTGGCCAGCCACCAAAAAAAAGAGAGAGAAAAAAGAAAGAAATTATTTAAAATTCAGAAGAATCTTCCACCCCCAATCCATTTTCATTCTGGATACCCCAGAAGTAACTACTATCCTGAAGTTATTAGATGTATCATTCCTACACGTATTTTAATACTTTTGTCATATCAACTATGTATACTGTTTTGTGGTTTTAAAGTTAACAAATGATTTCTGATTTGCTTTTGGTGCTCAGCACTATATTTTCAAGATGAAGCCAAGTTAACTCACGTAGCTATACTGTATTCAATCACTAAGCAGCTCTTGGGCCTCTGCTGTATGAATACACCCAATTTACTTGGGGAATAAGCCCATGTCTATTACACTGCACACGTGTAAAGGCATCTGCATTGGTCCATAGCCTGTGTTCCACATTGGAATCACCTAGGGAGATTGATAAACTACAGATGCCTGGTCTCACCCAGAGACCTATGATTTAATTTGGCTGGAGGGAAGACTGGATGTAGAAGTTTAGAAGCTCCCCCAGCTGACTCCAGTGTGCAGCAAAGGGTCAGCCCACTTGCCCAGGGCCTCACCACTCAAAGTGTGGTCCTCCATCCTAGCAGCATTCCACCACCTGGGAGCCCATTAGGAATGTAAAATTTCAGGCCTTACCCCAGACCCGCTGAACCAGAGGTTGCAATTTCACGAGATTCTCACGTTAAATCTGGGGAAGCGCTGGCCTAGGGAGAGCAGTTAGATTTGGAATTGCAGGGTCATAGGGCACATGCATCTTCAACTTGACTGGTCAGAAATGGGTTTCAACCAATACTGTAACACTCACACTCTCAGTCAACAATCAGTGCATGGGGACTGAAATCTAAAGGAGCCTCTGGTTTTGCTGCAAAGAGACCATCTACAAAAACTCCAATGCAGTGTTGACAGAAAGGGGCACGCACGCCTCTGTCATGTAAACACATGGAAACATCTTGTTAGTCGGTGAAAACTGCATGTGTCATGGAGCTTAACGCTGTCCGGCTTCTGCCATTGGCTCAGGCTTTTGCTTTCAGGGATACCATGCTCAAAACCCCAGACTGTTTTCGTAGAAGGTTGTTATTCTTCTTTTTCGTGGCACGTCAGGATTTCTCATTATGCAAAAATGGATCATGTCGAGATCTTAGGGCACCCTTAATTCAAGTTCTTTATGCATTGTTCTGTGCAGAGGACAGTTAGAACGCTTGCACAGATGGAAGGCCCTGACTTCCACAGTCCTGCCCGAGTCCTTCCGATAAGTTCCACTGTTAGGCATGCCCTCTTTTTGTTTTGTTTCATTCTGCTCTCATCAACGTGGAAAGACTATTTTTTGGTGTAACTACTTCTAGAAATCAGTTCATTATGGGGATGCGTTTTCTTAATGGTGAAACCAGATATTCTCAAAATAATAAACATCTTGCCTGAGAGTCACTAGATTCATATTAAAAAGGTGAAATGACATCATAGTATGACAGCTGAAAAGAGAAGTCCAGTCTCTCCATCATACCCGGTGTGTTCCTTAATTGGTTTCCCTTGCTAAACCGAGGGTTGTCATGGCTCATTCGATTTTCCTTTAACGGAACCCTGCACAAGGCCCCGGAGACTGATTCTTCAACCTGTCCTGTCCTTTTCTCTAAAATTCTCACTTCGAGTTGTGGAAAGGCCATCCCTGAGTACTGCGGATGTGACTATAACCACGGCAGCCATTCTGATGAGCAACTCGACAGTACATTTCAAGTGCCTTTAGAAATGTGCATAGTCCCTGGCTTAGCAATTCCACTTCTATGGGCCAGCCCGGTGGTGCACTAGAGAGTGCGCCGCTTGGGAGCGCAGTGGCGCTCCCGCCGAGGGTTTGGACAAAGATTCACCAGACCCTACCTTTTCCTCTGACTCCCAACAATACATGTGAAAGAGAAAGGGGAGGGGTCAACAGAATGAGCCTAGGCTGAGAAGTCACCTTTGCCTATGTGTAGGTGTGCCCCCCCCCAACACTTTCTGCCTCCAGGTAGGAGTGTGGCTCAGAGCCTTGTTGTCAACAGAATGAGCCTAGGCTGAGAAGTCACCTTTGCCTATGTGTAGGTGTGCCCCCCCCCCAACACTTTCTGCCTCCAGGTAGGAGTGTGGCTCAGATCCTTGTCTGTCATCTTTTTGTCCTTACTCACCTTTTAACTCCATAGAGAGCCCTAGTAGAAATTCTCTGGTCTCCTCTGTGACCCATAATATCTCAGCAAAGCTTTCCTGTTTCTGTCCCACCTTGCCATCACAGAAAGGGGCCCACAGGTCTCAAAAGATTCACCAGACCCTACCTTTTCCTCTGACTCCAACAATACATGTGAAAGAGAAAGGGGAGGGGTCAACAGAATGAGCCTAGGCTGAGAAGTCACCTTTGCCTATGTGTAGGTGTGCCCCCCCCCAACACTTTCTGCCTCCAGGTAGGAGTGTGGCTCAGAGCCTTGTTACCTAACCTTAAGACTGGGCCTCCTTCTTCTCATCTACATGACAATGTGTAGAATTCCAGGACCTGAGGAATGGAGGAAAGACTGGAATGGTATAAGAGCTAAAATTAATTTAACTCAAGAGTTATTGAGCATTTACTACATGCACAAGTACTATGGAGACTGAGAAGTGGCCAACAAAGAGAGATGCTAAGAATTTGCAGAGAAAGGCAGCTATGATCAAAACCCACAAAACAGAATTAAATCCATGATTTCAATTCAGGATGTGGAAGTACAGAGAAGGAACAGCTGATCCCAACCAGGAAAAGAGGCAAAGGCTTACCGGGGGGATTGGGTTGAGCCCAGAATCACAGCAGAACCTTGACAGAAGTAGAGAAGCTTTTTCATTTAAGGGAACAGCTTGAGCCCAGCTTCATCCCCATGGAGGAATGAAATGTCTAGTATGTTGAGGAAAAAAGGAGAAATTCGGTGTGGCTGTGGTGGAGGTTTCACAGAGCACACAGCTACAAATGAAAATGTAGAGGCAAGTGGACCTGATTATCTAGGAATTTCAGAGTCATTGAAAATGTCTAAGGAATCAAAAAATATCTTCAATTACACCAAGCACAGAAAACTTGTTGATGAAAAGAAAGGGCTTTATTGAGAGTCAGAATATCCATGTTTGGGCTCTGAGTCAATATTTTCTAGGAGTAAACATTAACCTCTCTGGAATTAGTTTTGTTTTTCTGTAGGTAATTAAATAAAATGAAGAAAGGGCTTTATTGAGAGTCAGAATATCCATGTTTGGGCTCTGAGTCAATATTTTCTAGAAGTAAACATTAACCTCTCTGGAATTAGTTTTGTTTTTCTGTGGGTAATTAAATAAAATTTCAGGGGAATAAAAAAGTAAATGAGATAATGTATGTGAAAGCATTTTGCCAAAAGGAACGCACTAACACACTGGATTTTGCATGGCAAACTCTGGCAAAATGAAATAAACAATCTATTATCGCTGAGGCAGCCTCTTCCTTTAAACACAAAGGTCTGATTTATCACTTTATTTTAAGAAGCTTTTGGAGATGCTCTGCCAGATGAATCATGAGCCATTGAAGATAAGTTGTTTTGTTTCCAGCCCTTCACTCCAATTGTTTTGAAAGCATCAGTGTCATCCTTCCATGTTTCATGGACACCAAAATGGTAAATTCTGATGGCACGAGGGAAAAGAGAGAAGGCACCCCCTCTGAAACCTCTCATTTGTATCTTAGATTACATGGTTAATATCCAAAGGTTTATGCATTCTATTTCAATAAATTGGAATTAAAACAAATAAATAAAAGAACCATCATACACAGAGTTCTGGAGGTATACTTCTTAATGTATTATGTATGTGGGGTGGGGGTGGGGGGTAAGCCGTGAGTGGGACAAGGGTTGAATTTTCTTTTTTTATACTTGAAACAGTTTTTTTAAAAAGAATATGAAATATTTTTTTCTCTAGTTGTTTTTAAATTACTTTGTCTTGGTGTTCTGCAGTCCCACCATAACACGATTAGTGTGGACTTCTTTGTATCTTGCTCTGTATTAGTCAGTTCCTGTTGCTTATAACAAAATAACTGGAACTGGGTAATTTATAAGAAAACGTAATTTATTGCTTACAATTTTGGAGGCTCAGAAGCCCAAAGTCAAAGGAATACTTTTGATGAGGGCCTTCTTTGCTGGTAACTTTGGCAATACAGGGTCTCACGTGGTAAGAATGGCGGAGCAGAGAGAGAGAGACTCGCATGTGCTCTCCTTTTAAAGCCCTCAGAACCACGCCCCTGACCACCATGATTAATCCATTCATTATGGCAGGGTCCTACAGTCCAATCACCTCTTCAAGACCCCACGTTTCAACTACCATAATAGGAGTTCTTATCCTCAGGAGTTACAAGGGGGATTAAGCTTCAATACTTAAAACTTGGGGGGCACAATTAAACCAATATCATGCCCTGACTGGTTGAACTTCCTGTATTTGGATTGGTCTTGTTCATCAACTTTAGAAAAGTCTTAGCTTTTATCTCTTCAAATATTTCATCTCTTCCTTTATCCTATTTCCTCCTTTTCTGGAAGTTCTATTAGATCTATATAGGATATTATTATCCTGACCTTCCTAATTCTTGACTTTTTTTTCATATTTTCCATCTCTTTGTCACTGTTTTATACTCCAAGTAACATCCTCATGTCAACCTTCTCTAATTCACTCTTTGGCTTTTTCAAATCAACTGTTTTTATATCAATCCTTTTTTATTTCTAGACGTTCTATTGTTTCTTCTTCAAAATCATCTGTTCTTTCCCATGTCTTGTTCCTCTTTTTTTTTTGGTTTCTTCTTTTATGTCCTTAATATTTGAAAAAATGACAAACATTTGAGCGATGAGTATACTACTTAACCACATTTCATCATTGCACGTTATAAACATGTATTCAAATACGGCAGTGGCCCGGCCGAAACCGAGTCGAGGTGGGGGGTGGCGAGGACAGCATGTGTCACAGGCTTGTGCGGGGCGGGCTTGGGCCCGCGTTGCGGAAGTGACATGTCACAAAGGGCCCTGGTTACCAGGGTGCACGTGGAGGACGCCTGAGGCCGGGGGGCACCAGTGCTCTCCAGCTCCCCGCAGGGCCGGCTGCGCCGTGGTCTGCGGCTGTCACCGGGGCCGGTTCGCGTTCCCGCCAGAACGCAGAGCTGTCTCAGCTGCTGATTGCAGCCCGGCCGGGCCGTGGCTACCGCGGCCACAGCCAGAGCGGCCTGGGCGCCATGGAGGTGCCCGGGGCTGCCCCTCAGCCGAACTTGGGGCTGGTCCTGGAAAAGCTGTGCAGGACTGCAGCAGCATTGCCTGAAGACCTGAGACCGGGACCTGGTTTTCCGTCGGAATCGGTGATATGTGCGGCTATTACTGGATTTTTTATTCTCTTGCTTTTGTGGAGAAGCATTCAATCGGTTAGAAGCCGGCTTTATGTAGGAAGAGAGAAAAAGCTTGCTGAAAAGCTTTCTGGGCTAATTGAAGAAAAATGTAAACTTCTCGAAAAATTTAGCATTGTTCAAGAGGAGTATGAAGGCTTAGAGTCAGCTTTGAAGGATGCAAGCTTTGAGAAGGAGTCGACAGAAGCACAAAGTTTGGAGGCAACCTATGAAAAGCTGAACAGGTCCAAATCTAAACTTGAGGATGAAACAGTCTTTCTAGCAAAAGAATTAAAAGAACAGAAATCTAAACATTCTGAGCAAGATGAATTGATGGCAGATATTTCAAAAAGGATACAGTCCCTAGAAGATGAAGCAAAATCCATCAAGTCACAAGTAGCTGAAGCCAAAATAATCTCCAAAATATTTCAAATGAATGAAGAATGTCTGAAGGTGGCAATAAAAGATGCCTTGAATGAAAATTCCCAACTTCAGGAAAGCCAGAAACAGCTTTTACAAGAGGCTGAAGTATTAAAAGAACAAGTGAGTGAACTTAATAAACAGAAAATAACATTTGAAGACTCCAAAGTACATGCAGAACAAGTTTTAAGTGATAAAGAAAACCACATCAAGTCTCTGACTGAACACTTGCTCAAGATGAAAGACTGGGCTGCTGTGCTTGGAGAAGACATAACGGATGATGACTTGGAATTGGAAATGAAGAGTGAATCACAAAATGGTGCTCACTTAGGTGATCAGCCAAAAGGAGCTTTGAAGAAACTGATTCACGCTGCTAAGTTAAATGCTTCTTTAAAATCCCCAGAAGAAGAAAGAAACCGAATTCACACTCGGTTATCTGAAGTAGATAAAACAAAGGAAGAGCTTACAGAGCATATTAAAAATCTCCAGACTGAAAAAGCCTCTTTACAGTCAGAAAACACACAGTTGGAAAGTGAAAATCAGAAGCTTCAGCAGAAACTTAAAGAGATGACTGAACTGTATCAAGAAAATGGAATGAAACTCCACAGGAAATTAATAGTAGAGGAAAATTACCGGTTAGAGAAGGAGGAGAAACTTTCCAAAGTAGAAGAAAAGATCAGCCATGCAGTTGAAGAACTGGAGACCTACAGAAGGCGAGCCAAAGACGTTGAAGAAAAATTGGAGCGAACCATTCGTTCTTATCAAGGGCAGATGACTTCCTATGAGAAAGAAGCGCATGATAATTGGTTGGCAGCTGAGACTGCTGAAAGACACCTCAGTTATTTAAGGAAAGGAAATGTTTACAAGAGACAAAAATTAATGGAAGAAGAGTTTAAATTTGAACTTATGGGTGGTATGCATTAACTAAATAAATGAGCTTTTCTTCTCATTTTTTGGAAATTTTTTTTTTTGGTAAAATAGGGGAAAATTCTCTAGAAAATTCTTTGATACTTCTTATCTAGAAAATAATTTGGTAAGTCTCAGACTTATGCCTTAGAAAAAAGATAATATGTGGCATTACAGTCTGGTGGTTTGTACTCTGTCAGTGTAGCTAAGCTGGGAATTAATTACATTTTCCACAATTCCCTTCCTTCTATTCTTCCAGATTAGAATTGGCCAAGAAAGAAACTTGCACAATATTTGAAAAGCAGAAGTAAGGCAGTGGCCATAACCATCTGCAGATCTTTTCTCAGGCAGATTCAGAGACAGACAGAAGAAGAGGTCCCTGGCAGGTGTCAGCTTGTCATCACTCTCTTCTGCTCTACATCTAGCTTTTTTTCCTCACTACTTGCACTGTTGACCAATGGAAGTTGTGGTTATTCAGAGGCAACAGTTTTTCATAAACCTCTGCACAAATTGCCCCTCCACGGCCCCACTTTGGTAGTTGGGCATACTTGGCCTTTCAGATGGACCGACTGGTAACTCAGACTCCGATCCTCCAACTTCTCTTCAAGACCTTTACTTCCCCACCTGTTCCTACAATTCTAAGATAAATCTCTTATAACACTCAGTGCTTTTGCTTCCTTAATTAAACCTTGACTGATACAAACTCCCATTCAATGAAAGAGAATTGCCAACTACAATAATAATAGAAAAAGAATAATTAATTTTTAATTAATTCAAAAACCTAAATATGCTTATGGATATAAAGGTGGTAGAATGTAGTCCAATGATCCATTAAAATAAGGAAAAGAGAGCAGCCATAGATTCACTAGCAGCAGCCAAATAAATAAAGGATTTAGTATCATGCATAAGCTTCTAGGAGTGGTGGCCACAAACAGAAACAAAAGATTCAGCCATTTCCATAAGTAGTTGCAGAGTAAGAAGGTGAATGAAAACATCTTGAGAATTCTGGCTGTCGACTCCTTTTTGGCAAGAGGTGGTTTGAAGTAGTGGTTCTCAAAATGAGGTCTGCAGACCCCTTTTTGCAAACAGTTTCAGGGGGTCTGTATGGTCAAAACTATTTTCATAATACTACTAAGGCTTTATTTGCCATTTTCGCTGTGTTGACATTTTCACTGATGGTGTAAGGCAATAATTAGTAAAACCACTAGCACTTTAACATGAATCATGGTAGTGACACCAAATTCTCTCAGTAGTCATTGTATGTTTCATGACTACACACATAGAGAAAAAAATATATTTTAAAATATATTATTACAAAGATTCTTCAGAAAAAATTATCTGAAAACTCTAGTGATATTATTGGATCTCCAAAGAGGAGAATGCTGCTGTTCCACATAGAACATCACCCATATACACACTCTTCAGAAATTAACCACTTTCCTTCAGAGGAAATGAGTCCTGTGAATGTGAAAATGGCATATTCAACTAGCCTTCTTATTGCTGGGAAGAGAATAGCACACACGTATATAAAAGTTCTTGTACTAATAACATCTACGTGTTTTTCTATAACATGGTTGATAGTGCTTTTTCAATTAATGGAATTACTAAAATATTTGCATTTAAAATTTTTCTGGATTTTGGCCTTAATTACATTAGTTATTTGTGCAGTGGATAGAACAATCATATGCACAAATGTATATTTTTTATTTCACAGGGTAAAAACTGTCATTTTTTGTTGTTATAATTTGAGCCAATATGGGGTGCTTTTTTATATCCTTTATCAGAAATTGTTAGGGTTTCAAAAAAAAAAATGAGTGTCCTAATGTGGCAGTACAAGGGATCTGTAACAGGGGATCTAGGTTCTTAGAACCCCTAATTCTCTGTATTATAAAGTTAAATGTACTGATTGAGACTATTTGTTCTTCAAGAACCCAGGTGTACAACCCAGCTTCTTCAATTCTTTAGACCAGTTGTTTTCAAATGCTTGTCTTACATTGTTTCTGAACTGACCACTTAAGAATCACCAGCAGAGCTTGTTAAAATATAGATTTATAGTCCCAACTATGGGAGATTCTAACTTAGTAGGTTTAGAATTGGAACCAAGAATTTATATTTATAAAGAATTCTCTAATTCTGATATTTAGCCAGATTTGGGAAGCACTGGCTTAGAAGATACTAGAAAATGAAGACAGAGCTGTGATATCACACAGAGTAAATAGTTTCCTGGTTAATTTATTTAACACCCCAGGAAAGGACATTGAGAAAATATTACTAGATGCCCATATCTTCCTACTTCCCAAGTTTTAGGCAGAATTATAACTACAGAAGCCAGTAAGCATTCGTGTTAGCTGGGACACTCAGGAATTATTAAAAATATCAAAACTTCAGAGAGGAGGTAAATTTTTTATGAAGCTAATGAAGTTTAAGTTCCAGAGCCACTCACGTGCATGGGCCACTCTGAGTGACTACTATTGGGAGTGGTAGTGTCCTGAGTTGGGAGGGGAAGCCAGGTTGCAAACAGAAGCTTTCAATGTACACGCATCTGAGCAATGACCTAAAGAAATCTCAGAGGAAAGGTGCCTGAATTTCCAAGGCACCAATACATTTGCTGTGATTTCTTTTTCTAAATAAATATTCATTTTCATACTAATTTTGTATTCATGATTTGTATACCTTTTCTTAAAGATGTCTCCTCAAAAGATTTAATAGTCAGGTTCCACATAACCAGGATTGACCTCTGTCTTAAGGGTCAATATTAAGAAATCAGAGAAATAACATTGGGCCTATTTAGAGATAATCTATTGGTGAAACATTACACATGAGATCACTTGATAATATACATTACTAAACAATCTTTGATGAATCCTCTAAGAAGAATTTGGGTAGAGAGCGCAAAGGTCTTATGGAAAGAAAAGGCATGGCATATTCAAGGAAATAAAATTAATAGTTAGAATTTTAAAATAAAATTAATAATTAATAGTTAATCAATTAATTAATTGAATTGATTGATTAAATAATAATTAAATTAAAATTTTAAATTAATTTTTAGTTTTAGTAAATTTTTAATTTTTAATAATTTTTAAATTTTTAATTAAATTTAAAAAATAAAAATTTAAATATAAATATAAATAAGATATAAATTTAAATATAAATTTTAAATATAAATATAAAAAATTAAATTCTGGAACAAAGAGTTTAAGAGAAGGTTGAGGACAGATGAAGCCACAAGAACCAATCACTTAATCCACATTAAGGAGTTTCAACCCTGTCCTGAAGAGAAAAAGAACCACGAAGTGTTCTAAGCAGGAGGTTGATATGATAAAATTTACATTTTTGCAAATTTTTTATGGGCTGCGATGTGATGAATAGATTGGAAGAGTGTCTTATTTCATTTGTGCCGCTATAAAAAAATGCCACAGACTGGGCAATGCATAAACAATAGAAATACATCACTCCTGGTTCTGGAGGCCGGAAAGCCAAGGTTACGGTGCTGGCAAAGTTGATGTCTGAAGGGGCTTGTTTCTAACTCTCTGCTTTGCACAGGCCCAAGACCTCATCTCTTGCCCTTACTTGACTTTCAAAACCCCAAATTCTGCAGTATAGATGCTGATACCCCCACCCCCATCTGTGCCACCTAGGACAACCCAGTGCCAACATGAGAATGGGCGTTTTTCTTCTCAGTTCCCTCCTTATTTTAGTCCCTGAGGAGTTCATCGACTTTCTTCCCAGTTTGGCTATGTATTTAAAAGGATGTTAAATTCTATGCAGCATTTCCAGGTGTTTTGCAAGAGGAATGGTTTGTAGGTCCTTCCAAGTTTTCTATTTTACTAGAACCAAGAGTGCTCTATGCATACATTTTACCTCGTCACTTTGAATATTTTCCGTTTTTAATGCAGCCATCAACCTAGCTCATGCTATGCTCTACTTCATTCATTGATCAACTGTCAAAAAATTAATTATACATATGAATTGTGCAACACCCCGTGAAGTCAAAAACTGTAAAAAAGAGTGCCTGTCCTTTATTTGCTTGAGAATGTACAATTCTATTGTGTATTTTATTTCAAAAATGAATGACTAAATTAATTTTGTTGGGCTCTAAGCATGTCATTGAGATTCTGAAACACCAACATATTTCTCTGAATGGAGCCATTTTCAACTTTTCTTGAGCTAATTATCTAGTTTTTGAATAATCTAGACCTTCATTGCTGTTGTTTTTTTCCCTCTTGTCTGCCCTTAGTTATGACAACATTGCTTACATTCATTATGTTTTAGAAATGGAATGACCTGTCCCACTTAGAAGTTCCTCCCCGCCTGGGTTTTCTTTCCTTGTCCCCTCTTTAAATGCTGGTGTCCCCAAGAGCTTTGTGCTTGGTTTACTGCTCTCCTCACTGCATATATATCTTTGGGCATTCCTATCTCCTGTCATGCTTTACCTGCAACATGCATGCTGTGTTAGTTTCCTACAGCTTCTGTAACAAAGTACCACAAGCTGGGTGGCTTAAAACAACAGAAATGTATAGTCTTTGTACAGTTCTGGAGGCTAGAAGTCTGAAATCAAGGTGTTGGCAAAGCCACGCTCCCTGCGAGACTCTGGATAGGGTCCTTTCTGGCCTCTCCCCAGCTTTTGGTGGTGGCCGGCAGTCCTTGGTGTTCCCTGGCATTCCCTACAGCTGCATCAGTCCAGTCTCTGCCTGTCTTCACCTGACATTCTCCCTGTGTGTTTTCACATCGTCTTCCTTCTGTGTGTGTCTATGTCCACGTTTTCTCTTTTTGTAAAGACACCAGTCATTTAATTAGGCCCACCCTAAAGACTTCATCTTAACCTGATTAAATCTGCAGAGACCCTATTTCTAAATAATGTCATTTTTGGGGAGACACGATTCAACCAATAACAGATTGTATCTGTCAATCTCTCTCTTCAGTCCAGGGCTCTCTCCCCAAAGCCAGACCTAAGTATAAAAAGAGCTGTAATTTTTTGAGGTATTACTACACTGCAGGAACTGTTTAGCACCTTACAC